TTGAAAAGGAAAATCAATTATTAATGGCTTAATTTTCGAAAAATTGGGACATAAAATATGTTAGCATTTATTTGCACATTATGTACGATCTTTGTATTTTGTTGTTTAGTTTTTGAATTAAATACACTATATTATGGTATAAAATATCAACTAACATTGGTAATAAAACATTTATTAATTTATATAATGAAAGTGCAGATAACTTATGTATTAAACAAGGTTATTACAAAAAGTAAAAGTTCTTACCATTTTTGTTTTAATTTCTAAAAATACTTTCTTATGTTATATAGGTAAATATAATATGTATATTGGTTTTATTCTAATTTTGTTTTCATGTTAAAATTACATACTAAACTATTACGTATTTCTTATAACTATTACATTGGTTTAAACTGGTAATTTATATACTTTGTAAAACCCCAAACTCTTGCTGTAAATTTTAATATATAAAATATTTGTTAAAAAATTTGAAAATATAATTTTTAAATTAGGTATAGATTGATTTTTTTTAAAAAACCCAACCCTTATTAGTAACTACCTTAACTAATTTTTTGCTAATTTTATTATAGTTTCGTAGAAAAGCCTTATTGAATTTTGAAAACAGATTTATTATTTATAAGGTTATAAGTTTTTCTACATTAATAACCAAGATTGTCCTACGACCAATACATATTGCAGCCACCAATTTCATATCTAAAATAAGTAGCATAATTACATGGTAGAGGCCAAAAGCAAAGAAGATGTAGAGGGCGTATCTGCATAGCATTAGAAATTGACTACTTCATAAGAACGTCACTAGATGCCACGCGAGATTGTCTCAAACGCTTTTTACTGTAGCGTTATCCTACTATATATATTTATACAATGCTAATACCGTTGTATGAAGAAATATAGTAGGGTAACCTTATGGACTTATCATTGGAGGACGATGGACATAGAATGTAGATGGCGATACTGTACTTATGTCCAAGTCAGGTTTTTAGGTCATGTCTGTGCTTGAGAATGAATTATAATTTAAAATCTTCTTTTTCATTTCTACTTGTCTTCGGTAATGTATTTTTATAGTTACAATTTACTATTTCAAATTATTACAAAAGCACAGAATACAGGGTATTTGAAGGTCACATAAAATGCGAAAATAATCGATATAATAAAATAAACCAGTTTTTGTTTGAAAAAGATTGAATTAGTTGAGATTGGGTGGAATTTTACTATAATAGGGAACATTTTTTTCTATATTGTGGTTGGATTTTGGATATAACGCTGATGGTTAATTAAACTTGAGTTGTACGCTGTTAATTTATATTCACTTTTATTTAATGGTATCATCAAATTAAGAATAGGACATGAACAACTGAATATTATTGTTCAAAATGAGACGAATAGACGAAAATAAAAAATGTTTGGATAAAATGTTCTGAAATACAGGATGTTAAGTTGAAAATTAAAAAAGTAATAATGGGTAAATATATAGGTAGTTATAATTTTATTCAATATAATTTTACTAAAATCGGCACTGACAAAATTTAACTAACAGATTTTTTGCTGTTAGGTAAACTTATAACATAATACCAAACACGTTTAGTGAAATTATACTAAGTAATAAAAACATGTAAGCCACTAATTTTCAGTTTTCAACTTTTGACACCATTTGAAAACGAATCGAGTACCAATTTATGGTAGGCACATTTAGGAGTATTATTTTCGAAAGGCAAAATTAAAAATTTTTCATTGTTTTTTTTTTTTGTACATGGAAATACTTTGCTGCATGTCTGCTGCATGTCCTACAATGATGAAGCTCTCAACGAAGGCGTCTTAAAAAATAAATTATAGAAAATGCGAATGTTACATATTTGATTAGATCATTGACATAAACTTTCATTGCTCAGGACGTTAAGTGCTCAACTTTGGGTTTCGTAAAGATCAGTTACTGACTACTACTATTTTTTTCTGAACTGTTATCAAAATACTACAAAATTTAGCAGAAAGATTGCATTAATTATATTTTTCATATTTTTTCCAAAATAAGAAAGAATGTTTTTATATGTAATTGAATCTGGGTTGGGAAATCCAAACTTGAATGCTTAACGACTTAAGTCTTGAAGGCACTTATATCAAGTTAATTATCTAATCAAATATGTGACGTGGCTTTTTAAAATACCATCATTGTGCGCTCCACTGCGTGTCCATCTTCTACAAGAGAAAAAAGGAGGAAACATTTGTAAAGTTGCCTTGTACAAATGTGTACCAAAAGAGGGCAACTGGCTCTCGTAAGCCTTTTTCGTTTAATCGTCTCATTATTTTAAAGTTAGTTTTAAGAACTGTTAACATTCAAATAAACAAAAACAATTTATAAATCTATTATTAAAATCCGTGTTGGAACAAAACATAAAATTGTTGAATTTGAAAGATATTATTCTAAAAATGGAAAGTATTTCAGTCGAGAGCCTATTGGACTGAATATTCAGTTTAAAATCGCTTTTCCGGCCTATAAATCTTCAATTGTTTCAAAACGAATAAAATAAATTAGTTCTGTCTAAAACTAAAATAAATTTGCTATCTCGAAGTCCCCATCGATTATTTCCAAACTTTTCTTTAACGTCTTAGTTGTAAGTTTTATATTACATTTTCTTTAATTTGCTATTTCTGTGGAATCAATAATTTTCACTTGCATTATTGTTCTTCTAAAAAAGCGAAATGTGACTCACGTTTTGCTTGATTGGCTTTAATTTTTGAGATAGTCAACCAGTCAAAATAAAAAAAATTCAAAAAATAATAAGACTTTAATTTATTTATTTAATCAGTTTTGTCTGAGCTAACTGAAAGGCTGTATTCTATAAACAATGAAAAAGAGTGATTGTTGTTTTGAACTACTTAAAACATTTTCACTCGAACGGCTTGCGTGATTCAATTTAAAAATACTTTCCAGAATAAAACCACGTGTTACAGTTTTGACTTCATTTATTACTAAACAGCCAAGTCATATACAAACGTTAATCCAAAATCTAAATTAAAAGTAATAACAAATAGCCTATCTACTAGGGTCGGTAACCAAACATATAAACAGAATGGGCGGATTTTGTTCATACTTAACATTATACTCGCGCACTGACACTTAACCTGGATTAAATATAACTGTAAATACAAATATTTTACAAACAAATATACTTTTCCAAACAGTAATAAATTATATAAAAAAAAATGTTTTTTATAAGATTTTCTTTTATGTTCAAAGTTAGGACTTTATAATTATTGTGTCGTTCATAGAATTCTGTACTAAATAAGAGCACTGATTTTGGAAATAAATTTTAACCATTTTGGCAAGTTGCTGAACCTTGTAACATTGCATAATGAAATATAAAGACTAACTGAATATGTCTGCCACAGATAGACCACTTGTAGGTCTATTGATTTCGTCTTGAGCTATTCCTAAAGAGTGGAGCTATTGAAAACTTCCTTTCAAGGTGATTTATTTCAACACTCAGAGCCAGCCGAGAGAACATTTTTTTCTTATATTCATGATCAACAGCCAAGATACATTTGAAAGTCGCTAATATATCCCTGTGACTATTTTTTTTTAATTTGTTTTCCAGTGTTGATTGATTTTTCCCTGATTAGTGTGATTTTCTTGTTCCTTAACTCAATATCTTGCAAACTGTTGATAGCTTTGATGAAATTTTGTAGCAAAGCTTGTTAAAATTTTGAAAACTATAAAAATAATCAGCTATTTTTATGGTTATAAACTTTTCCAACACTTAGTCCAATTAGAGGTACTTAGATTACATGCAACATTTTCAGAAGCTTATTCCTTTTTTGTTTTCTACTTGGAACTTTTCAATTTATTTAAAACATTGGACATTGTTATAAGTTGTTATTAGGTATTCTTTGTTGTTTATATATTTTGACATAACCGCACATAACCAAAATATTGACCAAAGTCCTTAACCACTTTTTATCACCTTAATCCAAAAATTTTATTCGTACGATTTTGTCAACTGGAATAAATTTTCATTATTATGTTTAATTTTTCATGTCTTTTATCATAAATTGTTATTTTTAAATAAATAAAGATGTTTTTAAAATAGGTAGGTGATAGAGGCCATGTGCCTGAACGAAAAGAAGACGTAGATGGCGTATCTGCATAGCATTAAAAATTGACTACTTCATTAAATCGTCACTAGATGCCGCTCGAGATTGCATCCAACACTTTTTACTGTTGCATTATCCTACTATATTATCTTCATACAACGCTAATACCTAAAGAAATGTGCAAATAACTAAATCAGTGACAAGAGATAAGAAAAATCAAACTACTATTTAATAAACCCAATTTATTAATAAAAACAGTAGTTATGAAAGATATCTATGAAAGATACCTATGAAAGATATGAGCACATTATCCGTATATCAGAGAAAAAATAATGATTTAATTTAGTTTAAATCCGAAGAATATTGTTTTATTTAAATATTTAAAATGTTGATTTTTATTAGTAAAGATTTAAAAGTGAATTTATTTTTAATTTTATAATTTCTAATGTACAGGACAGGACAACCAAGATATTGTTAAGTGTGATTTAGCCGAAATAGGCAACACGTAATACATTAAAATGTATTTTGAATAGTTGTACATAATTGTACTAATAAATTTAAATATTTCATTATATTATATTTTATGTATCTTTTAAAACTTAGAATAATAAAACGCTACAATAGGTACGTCGTGCGTGCACTTGATAAAAGTGTCATTTACCAGAAAATAAGTGAACTATTGGGTCTGCTAATCGCAAACAATGTTTCTGATGTTCCCTTAGTCATTATTTTTGAAGTAAATAGTGTAAAAGTCTTCCAGCTCTCCGGTATTTAATTCTAATACGTTTCACACACTGCAAAGTCGGTTCCAGTTACTCTCTACTACTAGGATTATTTAAGATAGTTTTATCTAGGGGATTATCGAAATCCCGATTTCGACATCTGTCTGGGGAGTAAACTCAAATCCTTACCTGTAGATTGTCATCGTCTGTCCCCCTGGAATTCATCGTTCCATCGGTAGACGTCGCCGAGACTAGGAGAGCCGCTTGCAAAACAAACGCCAAGAGCGTGGCCCAAGGAAGTTTGCTGGACGAAAGGGGTGCATGTCGCATTATTACTGAAACAAAAAAATTTTAGTGAGACAATATCAAGAATCATTATAGTCCATGAACGTTTTATTATAAGGTTAGATACTAGTTTCGATCATTATGGCAATTATCAAGGTATTTATGTACAATTAGCAATGATAAACTTTGTATTTTGTGCCAGTTTATTTACAAAAATCATTTTTCAAAGTGGTTTCGGCTTTAAGCCATAATTAGTGGTGTAAATACATTTTAATGAACGGATACGAATTAAAAACTAATATAGAATAAAATAAAATTAAAAAAGAGACAGACTGAGAGCGTGCGAGCACTGAGCGACCAAGAGCCGCATTCTGCAACTATGGGAAAAGGAGTGCGAGTGCTCTCTCACTATTTGGCCTTGCTGCGCATGTCACTCGACTAAAATTATAAAGAATCATGTCAACAGCGAGAGCAGTGTTGCAAGACGCACGATAATTATCGTATTTATACGATATACTGAAAAAAAGTTCCCTATTTTTTTGAATTTGTATTTTCCACCTTACGAGCTAGATTGAATTTCTGTTGCATACACCTGCTTTGGTAATATATTATTACATACGTACAATTAAAAATATATTAATTACAGGATGATTTACAAATGTATGACGGTAGTTTTTTTGCAAAATTTCACTAATTCTACTGTGATGTTAGGAAGGCATATTTTTAAAAAGTACTACCTAATATGGTATTTTGTCGATCAAATATTGCACAATACACATTTCTTAAACAGGGTGTTTTATAGTGAGAACCACTAAGTAAAATTATTTTTTTAAAGTTTACTGCAAAACCCTCTATGTAGCCATTTTCTCGGTATATAATAAGTTTAACACTGTTTTAAGAGTTATGCATTTTAAATCTGATACTATTCGAGAAACAGGGCCTTAAAATGGAGAATTGCTGATTTTAGTTTATTTTTTTCTTCAAACTGAAAAGCTAAATAGTCTCTATGTAGAATATATAAGTTTAATTTAAATTTTACTGGGATGTCCTTTACAAGGGACAGTTTAAAATAGTTGCGGCTCGTGACTAAAATATTGGAGGTTCCCAATGACGGAGAATATATATCTCAGTACAGATGCAGGTAAAAAACTTGTGTTTTAGAAAGTTATAGGTATAGAAAAGTATAATATACCGAAGAATCTGAAAGTTGTTTACCTACATCTGTCCTGAGATCTATATTCTGTCATTGTGAACCCCCAATATTTTGGACACCAGCCGCCACTGGTTTAAAATAATTGTTACAGGATGCTTCACGAATAAATCGCAATATATTTTTGCACACAATCAATAACTACAGTTGCGCCACAGAGAAATTATTTCATTAATTTATTTTTATACAGGGTGAGCCATCCAGCTAACCAACAAAAACAAATTATGTTTTGAAATTATTAAAAAGATGACCTTGCATATCTTTAGTGACTTTTAAGTAAGTTAAATTAGCTGTGTAACCATAAGATTTTAAAATATACAGGGTAGTCTGTTTCTATTAGAGCACTCTGCATAAAAAGTATATACTGTTTAATATTTTATTGCCAAAATACCATATTGTGTAGTATTTTTTAAACATATGCTTCCCTGACGTCATATTAAAATTAGTGAGATTTTGGAAAAACTATATACCGTCATACATTTGTGAATCACCCTGTAACTGGAAATATTTTTACTTGTACGTATGTACTAATTTATTACTAAAACATGTAGTAAACAACAAAAAATCAATCAAGCTCGTAAGTTTGAAAATAAAAATTTCGAGAATCAGGCAATTTTCAACTTTAACGAAAACGACAACTAGTCATAGGATTGAGTTGAGCACTAGGTTGAATACAATAACATACCACATTTTTAGAAAATTTGTTTTAAACCTACATATAAAATGACAAAACTGTATAGACAAAAACAATTAAAAATCGAAATCAGAAAGGATTACAAGAAGAAATAATTATTTTTGAGACTTTAGCTGAACAGTGTAACAAAGGTACTTTTATTTAATTATTTGAGACACAAAATTCGTCGGAAAATAGAAATTAATATTTTTATTTACTTTTTAATAGAGAGATATTGCAAATTTCTATAACGCCAGCCACTAATAGTGACATCGTAATAAGAGTCAAATAAATTCCATGCTAAAACCAGACCTATTGCAAACCTGAAATTTTGACATTAGAATCCTTGTCCTTGTCATTTTGGAACTCGACTAATATCAAAATAAAAAAAATATTTTTATGAATTAAAACTACAAACGATGTAGATGATTGTAGTGACTTTTATTTTTTTGTAGTTTTAAGGTTTTTACAAAAAAACTAATTAATTTTAATTTTAAATTTATTTACTAATATTATTATTTAAAACTGCTAAATTTGTATTTGGAATCGTTTGTAGTTTTATGTAGTGAAAGAAAAAATTTGAAAAAATAAAAAAAAAATTATTGTAAAGTTCCATTATAAAAATCAAAATTATTAATTTTCACAGCAATTACTGAAAACTACAAACATACAAAATGATTGCAGTACTTTTAAATCGTTTGTAGTTTTATGTAGTAAACGAAAAAATTTGAAAAAATAAAAAAAATTATTTTATTTCGTAAAGTTCCATTACAAAAATCGAAATTATTAATTTTTACAGCAATTACTGAAATTATTGATTATACCAGCAATTCTTTTCACAAATTTGTTTTTCTAAAGTACCTAGGCGTTGAAAAAATTAACGTTTGTTGTAGCGGTCAATTCTTTCTTTTTAAGTGATTAAGTTTCGATTTAATTAGGATCCATGCATAGTTATCACGGACATGATTCGTATCTCTTTATTCGGATCACTCTTTATTACCGTTAATGATTTTATAAAAGTAAAATTGAACTCTCCTCTTGTTGCTCTTGTAATTTTAAGAACATTGGATTATTATGAACTTTTACACAAAGTTTATTTACATTATCAAAATACATTTTTTTTCTTTAACATCTTGAAAACGGCAAATTTGTGATTTTAAAATTGATTTAGAACATAGGGTTATACCAGGTCTTCAACAATACCCGAAACCCACGTGATCTGGTAGCATCAAAAACACAGTGAAAGGGCCTGATTTGGTTCCTTATATGTCAACTGCCGTTGTCAATACTGTCAAAAATATCATTAGCGTTAATTTGGGTTTTTGGGTATATTTATATTATTTAAAGGTTATTGATTTTGCATTTTGTCAACACGCTTTTATTCAATTTTTCCTCAAATAATAATAAACCAATCAGTTCTTTTTAGAGCTCATTAGTGCTTTCATTCTTTTTTGCCGGTAAGTGTAAATTTATTTACTTTTATACAAGTTTATTGACAATATAATTTTCAGCTCAAAATGTTTACACCGGAATAAGATTCTTTTATTTTAATGGCACATTATAGAAGTGGACCTCGAAATGATGGAACTTGGTCATATTCAATTCAGAGTTGCATTCAACAATTTGAGGAACGTTTTCCAGCTGTACAAATAGAATATGATAGTTTTCGTCATCATAGACATATTCTTGTTCAACGTTTTGAAACGAAAAATTGCATTTGTAAAGGAAAGGGGTCTGGAAGGCCCACAGTAATAACCGAAGAAGTTGTTCAAGATGTGCGAATTCGCATGGAGCAAAGTCCCACTAAATCAGTAAAAAAGTTAGCAGCTCAAGCAGGTAAGAACAGTGTTACAATTTAATTTCATCGTTTTAGATTTATCTGTAGGAACTAGCCATAAGATTTTGAAAAAAAAATCTATCAATGCATCCTTATAAGGTTTCAGTACTGCAACAATTGTTTCCTGGTGATTTTGTTAAACGTATGGAATACTGTCGATGGTTCAATGAGCAATTAAATGACAATAACTTATTGGATCGAACTTTTTTTACTGATGAAGCATGGTTTCACTTATCAGGATATGTCAATAGTCAAAATTATCGAACATGGGCAAGTGAAAATCCTCATTCATTTGTGGAGACAAGTCTACATCCCATAAAAGTTGGTATTTAGATAGCAATTTCAAGAAGAAGAATAATAGGGCCCATATTTTTCTATGACACAATTAATGGCCAACGTTATCGAAATATTTTTCTTGAATTTGTTGAACAGCTACAGGATGACCAGTTACAATTGGGTTATTTTCAACAAGATGGAGCATTAGCTCATACAACTAGAGCTACTATTGACCTAATAAAAGAATATTTTGATGACCGAATTATTAGTAAAGGATTATGGCCTCCAAGATCTCCAGACCTCACACCTCCTGACTACTTTTTATTTGGTCATATAAAAAATAAAGTATTCAGAAATCGTTTGCATGATGTGAATGAATTGGAGCAAGCTATAGTTAATAAAATTGAAAGTGTAACTGAGGAGCAACTGCATAATGTGCTCGAAAACATGAAAAGAAGGGTTAATGCTTGCATAGAAGCTGGTGGTGAACATTTTGAACACTTACTGTAAATGTATATTCTTTCTACAACATCAAATTATCCTTTAAAATAAATTATTGAAGTTGATGTTGTGATTAATTCTGTTCAGAACTGGATTGTTTTTTTTTTGTTTATATCAATATGACTTTTTGTTACATTTTTTATATATATTTTAAATGAACAAAAACAAATTTAACATGAAAAATTAGCATATTCTAAATTAATTTTCAATTTTATAGATACTTACTAATTTAAAATAAACAAAAACAAATTAAAAATTGTATTTGTATATTGTGTCCCATTGCCCATGTACAATTCCATCTCTTAAAGTAAATTTTAAATTGATTTCTAATTTCTAAACGTGCAACAAGCTAAATGTATGATCTGTAATACTCTTGTAATTTAAACAGTCAGTCGTAGTTAAGATAATATACCAGTTGCCATCAAGCTAAAATAAATAATTTTTAATTGTGTTCTTTATGCATAACATTTTTTAACCCTCCGTTCCCACACTTAATTTTTATCAAGAATTTGTCCCTCAAAATTTCAATTATTGAATAATAATAATTCTAAAT